TTTTAGATCTGAGTTTTTTATAAGTTTTATAGGTCATTTTTATGATAAATTTGTTATAGGACTTGATTGTATTCTTTCTATATGATAGTGGTTTAGATGCAATTATTATTTTTAGGGGTATTTTAGGTAGTTTGAAAGCTTGGAATGGTCAAAGACTACTGCTAAATTTTGGGTATTTTCAATTATTTCCCCAAGCCACAGCCGGGTCAGACAGAGCTGTTTATCTTCTTCTTCGTAAACCCGACGGAAATTTCAGTAAAACAGTTTGCGCCACAATAAATTAGGGTTATAAAATCTAAAATTCCAAAATTAAGCTAATTCAAACATCAAAAAAATATTCCTTTTGTCACTCTGTATCAAATTAAAAAAACGACCCTCCTTTTCAGTATAAATCTCAAAAATCATTACTGAAAATCGTGGAAGAAAGGGAACAAATTTACAAAAATGTCAAGTAGTTGTTCTTTTTGTTGTAGACCCATAAATTTATGTCCGATTAAGACTGTGATGTCACCAAGAAGAGTGGAAATTATAACGCCAAGGAGGGTTAGGTTTCATTTTGGAAGAATTAGGGCGTCAAAGGTGGAGTCTTATGGGAGCTCTTCTGATTTTGTTGAACGCATGGAACGTGCCTGGTTGATTTCTCAGGTATAATTTTATTTTTACATTTTTTTGGCTGTTATCGTGATTTATTTTGTATCTTGAAAATAATTGGTGTTTTATGCTATGTTTGCTTAGATAAAGAAAATAGCAGTGGAGCGGAATACTGGAAAATGAAAATTAAGGTGTTGAAGTAGCAGTTAATTTCAATTCTTAAAGATTAGTATGGTACCCTGAACAAATTTTATGTTATTTACGGATTATGATGAACCAGTACTAGTTTGATGTCATCGAAGTTTATGGAGACAGAGTAGAAAGAACTTGGAGAGAGAGAGAGCTAACAGAGAAAGTCAAGGGGGAGATTCGCAAAGTTTTCTTTGTGGGAGAGCAAAATCCACATTTTTTTCCTAGTGGTTAAACTGATTGATTTGAAGTTAAAAGTTTTCATGTATAGCATTATTGCTTCCATTATAATTACTATAATCAGAAAGAGAGCTAGCCGACCCTTCGATGCTCACATTGGAACTTATGTTTTGCTCAAGTAACATACCATACATCTCCTAGCCACCAGCCTTTCACCACATCTTGTCTCACTGATTACCCATTTTAATTTTGAGCCTATAATGTGTACTAGTTTGAACACCTGGACAGATAAATGTTTTGCAGTTGTTGTCAATCACATAGTCCAGGACTCTAGTTGATCATCTTCTTTGAGGTTCCAATCCCCATGGCATAGCTCCTTCCTATCCAACTCTTTTCTTCAAAATCAAGGTTGATTACTTGTATCTCCAATTATACGAGAGCATTGTGACACGATCCTCATGTTAGTCATTCCCTGCGAGCCCCTTAGGCTCGTGGCTCTCCTTAGTGCTCGTAGTTTGTGCCTTGCCTTGGCCGTACTAGGGTGACACTTTAATCCCAGGCATACTTAAACTGCCATCCTCATATAATCAACTAATCATCTTAAATACAATGTTGGATGTTCTCGCACATTGGAATCTTACACTTGCCCTATATGTGACCTTGCCCCATGACCACATGTCCAGTGAACCCTCACAGCAAAGTTACCCCTTGCAACGCATAGGAGAAATGTAGAGTTTTTGCCATGGTAACTCATTTGGGCTGGAGGAGTTGGCCATGATTTGCTTAGCCCATAGGTGATAGAGACTGCCAATTTGTAGCCACCAATCTCAAAGATGCCGCCATGTGACAATGACCAGCATGTTCCTGACTTGTATGGAGACTAACCACTCTTTCGAGAAGCCAAGTATCCCTTGCTGTTAAAGTTGTTGCTTGCTTAGTACTTGAAGGTTTCCCTGCAGCAAGGGGAGTTTAGCCTCAAACATACCCCACTGATGGTAGATTTAGCAGCAAAAAATTCAAATGACTGGAGGAGACCACTTTGATCTAGGATCACATTGTTAGTATGTCCCTGCGTCCCAAGTCCAAATGTAATTAATAACGCTCAAGATCTTTAAATCAAACCTGTGAACACTCAACTCCACCACATTCTTGACACACAAGATACTGGTCTCAGAATATTTTATAATTACATCAATACCACTGCATAGCATGTCTTCAAACAATATTGTTGAAGCCTGCTTAAATGGAATCCGAGCAACCCAAAATTTGGGGGAGGTTTTCTTATATCTCAAAAAATTTCCAACTAGCAATTGTCAATATGATTGACTAGACATGATATTTTACCTTTTGTTACGTTGAATATGATTTTATTAAATTGAAGGTTCCTGGAGATTCTTCTTTCTCGTCACAGTTAATCAAATAAGGAGTTGGTGATGGATTACCGCCATCGTGCTTCAGATTTAGTTTATGTATGTAGTTTTCTAACCTGCAAATATCATACGAATAATTAAAAATGGGAGATTGAACTATTGTGCTAGGAACGAACTGTTACAAAAGAGAAACTATGGAACTTTTTTTTTTTTTTTGGTGTTATATTCGTTTCTAAATTATGGAAGAAGAATATATGTGGAATTCTAGATCAAATGGGTCTCCTGTAGAAGTCATTGTTGGATACGTGATATCGAGATTAAATCCTATTTATACCTTTTATGCTCTTCATTTCTCAGGTTGTTTATAATCTCAGCAGTCAATGGGTAAAAAAAAAAGATCTGCTGTCCGAGCGTGAGCTCAAGGTCGCTATGTATGATTTTTTTTTTGTGTGTGTGTGTGTGTGTGAGAGAGAGAGAGAGAGAGAGAGAGAGAGATTAGGACCATTAGGTTAATAATTTAGCATGTGGTCGCTTTGGCCTACTCCGGAGAAGGTCATCCATCTTAATTTCGGGATGGGAGTTCATTATACATTATGCATACTTGTTATTGATTTTGTTACAGCGAGTGATTGTTGAGGTGCAATAAATTCAGAGGTTGGGTGGCAGGAATGCCTTCTTGTATACACAAATATCATTTTGTGTCTTGCGAGTTGTGTCAACATTTTTATATGCACTCTTGTAGGCACATTGTGGGAGGGTAAGTCAGCATGTGAACGACTTCAAATCACAAGAATAATTAACTCGTGTCAAGAGATGATGTTTGGTTGTGCTTAAAAGTAATATTTTGATTTTTGTTGAACATAATTTTCAGTGTTACTTTTTTCAGTAACATAACTCACTTTTCGTGACAACGGAGGTTTATTGTGTTAGGGCTACTTTTTCTGTTTTCTATTAAGCCTGCTTCAAGATATTGTATGGACGACTTCCCTTTTTCTCGCACCCACCCCCCGGGCATTACCTATATCCTTATTCATGCAGCAACCAAGGCCTGTTGCTTGTTCCTCTTGTGAGTCAAATGGGAATGTCGAATGCAAATGGTGCAGTGGAACTGGTTTCTTTATTATCGGCGATAACATGCTGTGTCAAGTCCCTTCAAGAAACACAACTTGTGTTATCTGTGCAGGAAAGGTAAATAAGCCATTAAGAGCGTGTTTGGTATGCAATACTCTATTGAATAATATGATGAAAGTGGTTGTAGCTTTTTTTTCCTTCCTTAATATTATTTTGTCCTATACTATAATTAACAAAATACAAAACAAATCATAAGAATCTGTACATTATTATACAACCAATTCTCAGGAGGATTATATGCACAGCTAATGAGATAATTCATTTGATGCTTTTAGGGTTCTGTATGCTGTCCTGACTGCAAAGGAACTGGCTTCCGTGCGAAATGGCTTGGGGAACCTCCAGTTGCCAAATAATAGCATGGCATTTGTGGTAATCGTGCAAAGTTGCTGCTTCATTGAATAGCTGAATTTCTGTGGTTACATTTTGAAATCAATTATGTCGTAGAATTTACCAGCTTAGCCTCTTTGACATATACTTTATACAGGTCTATAACAGTAATTTTCTACCTTCATTTTTTTGTGTTTATAAATGTGATACAGTTACATTATTTCATTATGTCAACAAAATATCAATTGATTTCTAGATTGAGCATTGAAGTGGTCGATATAGACTGTACAGATTGATGTTTCCATTCTGTGGCTTTATTGAACACTGAGAAAGTAGACATCGTGATTAACCTGTAGGTTTTACAATCTGAGAGTCTCTATTTACCTGTAGATTAGCATATTCAGCCAAGTCATTAGAACAACAGGAAAAGTACCAACACAAGTAGTTTGATATATTTAAGTAACACAAAATATAAGAGAACCGTCTCACGAACATTTTGCAGTTTATATGATCATCATTGTTACAGAAAAGTCAACGATTTAGTCGCCTTGGACAATTGCTGAGAATAGTAACTGGTTGATATCATCGGAGGGTGACTCCATTTCGTACTCTGCATAGTTGACAATTTTTCAAACAGTTAAATCAAGGTTTGGTAAAAAACATCATATACCACCTGTTTTTCTGGTAAATATCTAAAGTTCTGACAAGGATATGCATGCCAAAATTGTTGTTATTATAGAGAAAAGAAGGGGCTGGGGAAAACCTAATGTTAAATGTCCATACATACTCCATAGTGTTGCTAATCAAGGAAGCTTTACCTATTCTTTTACCAAACATGTCTACAACATTATATTGGGAGATTGAGCTAATAAAACAGGATCTAGCTAATAAAACAGGATATAACTTCACAGCCTTCAATCCCAAGTTATCTAAGGCAACAATCACCAGTTCTTACTGAGTGCATTAAAGAATGGACATTTCAAGAGAACCATATTGTTCACCTTATTACAGATTGACTTTGTTCCTGACAGATGTATAGATAAGTAAAACGTTTACTCTGGTGACATCAAAGATCTTAGAACAAATAAAAATTCGACTACCATCATACCTGTTTTGGATGTGACACGAGTTATCCAATTGTCAATTACCTGTACATTGAAAGTTAAAAGGATTACATAACAGATCAAATTCTTCACGAATACTATCATTGACAATGAGAAAGGTCGAAAATTTAGTTAGCCTGATAGAGAGCACCAAAACAGAATGCTTTATGCCATGGTGCTCCATACAAGCCAACCTCGCCACTTGATTTTGGTTGCTTGCTGGCACAAGAAGCGAATTCTTTAGATACCATTAGGAAAATGCAATCGTCCACCTTGATAGTAATTATATCATAAAACCTAAACTCGGTATACATCTATCGATGGCAAGGAGAAAAGCTGTGGTAGACTTTACGCCGGGGGTGGGGAGATGAATTTTATCTTAACAGTAGACATAATGGTAAGGAATCAGATTTAGCTTCTTGTTTGTTATTGATCTGTGTACTGGTAAGTTTCAGACTGTTTACTTACAACCATGGAACCATTCCGCACCTTCTACACTGAGCCTCTTTTAGAAAAGGCCACGCACAAGGGGGTATAAACAAAAAGAAAAGAGTTTCCAGTCAGAAGGATATAAAAGTTGCACCTGGCTAAAGCTTTAAGCCCCAGTAAGTATTTTCCGAACTAATGACACTGATCTTATGGGGAACGATGTTTAACTGTGGGATGAGTTTCTTCTAACAGTGTTCTAAAAAGTGTAAAGTGTGGCTACGTATGGAGATGAGATTTCAAGTTTTACGACCTTAAGCGAATCTAAGTGACGTTTAGGCGTAAAAATGCGTTTTCTTATTTTTAATATTATTTAAAAATTTAATCATTTTGAAAATCATTTAATAATTAAAATAATACATATCAAACATCTACATTATAAAATACTATATTTACTTAATAATTCCTTTAATTAGTGAATTATATAATTTTCCAAGTTTTCGAAGTGCAAATATTAGACTATTTTTTATAGTTTCAATTTTCAATTAGACAAGTCGTAGTTAATAGATTTATAGGAACTTCATACATAATTTCAAAATTTTGAACAAAATAACGAGTCTTAAGATCGTAATTACATATGTAGATAGCACCGTAGCTTAATCTTATTTAATTCTTTACCGAATAAAGTCATTTTTAACTTTTGCACGGATAAAATCTTTTAAAAATTTGAAATTAAAGTCAAATGAAAAGTTTTTTTAAAAATAAAAAATTAATAATCTAAAATCAAGTAAAAGACTTAAAAAAAGAAATAAAAAATTTAGTAAAGGGCGCCTAGGGAAGACGAAAAAGAGAAACGAAAAAATTCAACCATTTAAGAATTGAAAAAAAAAGTGTCTAGGTGCGAAGTGAGGTGTTTTACCCTAACTGCGAGCCTAGGCAGTGTCTAAATGTCACCTAAACGAGCTTTTTAAAGCACTAACTTCTAAAGCTTTAAGCCATTTCCCTTTTTATGTATACTTCTAACTGATTTCAATTAGGTTCGCTCAAAATTCTAATTTATGTTAATTAGAAGTGCTATGTATTTAATTTTCTTTTAAGGAGGCCTTGGCTTTGCCCCCTCTCTTATTAGTAATTTTCTAATGCTTTAAGTCATTTTCTTGTTTGTAATTGATATTCTTGCTTTCACATGACTGAAATCATATTAAAATGTGATTATCCGATTGAACACAATCGAATTACAATTATTTGATTGAAATATAGTGAAAGTATGACAATCGTGAATGTAATTAACTTATTTTTTAAGGCCCTCTTAGGAAGAATAGATTTTGTGATAATAATGTTTTGAAGAATGTGCATTTAAAAAGTATGAAAATATTTTAAGTATGTGCAAATTTATTTTAATGGGAGAATGAATTGTTGAAAATGAGTTTGAAAAAAAAAAAAAGAGCTTTTAGATAATGAAACTCAAATATGGACTAAATATTAATTAACCTAGTATATAAAAGGATTAATTTGGTTAATTAGTATTAATATTGATATTTTATTTGATACACTACATTTTAATTGCAATTACGTTCCTCCAATCTTTGTTCATTTTAAACATAAAAATCGTCTATTGTGACCTTCGAGAGAAATCACTTTTGTCATTTGGGAGAAAAGATTTACAGCTTTGAATATTCGAAAAATTCAAATCAACGTGAAGGTTTTTCTGAAATTACATATGAACTTTAAGTGATAAAGGTTTTTCCAAAACTACACGAAAGTCATCACGTGACCTTCAAAAATGACAATTTTTGTTCAGTCATATTTGATGAATCATACACCATTGAAAAGCTCTATTAGTCTACTTTTATGTGGAAGAAATGATTTTTCTTAATCACGCACATACTTTGAATTATGAATATTTTTCCAGAACTACATGAAAGTCGTATTATATAACTTTGAAAAATGACTAATTTTTCAAATTCGTCGTATTTGAGGAACCATACCATTTCAAAGTTCTATGAATCTACTTAATATGGAAGAACTATTTTTCGAAATCAAGCCTCTGCATTTATTATGAAAGTATCCTTTCATAAATTTAAAATTGATGGTTATATTATTAATTTGACTGAGTATACACTGCCAAGATTCAATTTAAAATTGATAAATATATTATTTGACAGAGTATACAGTCAAAATATTTTATCTGAGGAAAGAAAAAAGTGTTTTTTTCTTGACCTTTTCGCTTTCTGTATACTTGACTGCATGACATTGAATGAATGTGTATTATAAAAGACAAAATAGATAATTCAATTGTTGAATCTTTACGCTACTCAGAGAGTATAACTGATAAATTACGTTACCAA